TTGTTTCCATAATTATAAAGTACTAACATGATTTCTTTTACTTTAGATGCTATTGGAAAAATTGTGAGTATTGGGGATGTGGAGATCTTGAATGTTGGAAAGAGACAGACAAAGAGGCTTTCTATGGAGATCCGTGATACAGAGTTAGCATTTACATTACTAATCTATCACTAATGCTCTATATATTTACTATTTGGGTATATTATCCTTTTTCCTCAATTTTCTTTATCATTTTCAATGTAGAAATGTTCGACTTAATTGTGTTTTTGGGGTCAATTCGCTGAAAATCTTGAAAGTGTGGCTCAACATGCAAATGATGCTGTGATTGTTGCTGTTTTGCGGTTTGGAAAGTTAAAACTTTATCAAGGTGTTTGGAGTGTTGGCAATTGCTACAACTGTTCAATGGTCATTACTGATCCAGTCTTCCCAGAGAGTTTGGCTTTTAAAGAGAGGTAAAACTAATTATATCCATAATTTTATTTATTTATCAAGTTTTATATTCTAAATACTATGTAATCTAATCTAAACAGATTGCCAAAAGATGGTTTAACCCTGACCTATACCCATCCAAATCAGTTGACTATTGTCAATTCTGTATCAGTAAGGGACGATTTCTTCTTGCATAGTCCTCGAAGGACTATTAGCGAGATTATTGCTGCTTCTGAGGTAATTATATATTATGTCAGTTCAATTTTTATAACATATATTTGATTCTAATATCATTATTAATTTTTCAAGGTTGTCAAATGTGTTACAATGGCCACAATTATGTCGATTGACACTGAGTTTGGTTGGTATTACATGTCATGCGGAGCCTGTTCTAAAAAAGGTTCTCCCTCATGATATGGATTACTTAAAAGAACTGTATCCTAGGAAAATATTTAAGAAACAATTGTGGCAGTGCAAAAAATGCAATGAGGATGTTGAGAATGTTTATCCATCGTAAGTCTGTTATTGTATTTGTGTTATAGTAAAGTTTTAACCTTTTATTAATTTTAACTTATACTATTTCAAATTATGATAGGTTTATGTTGACTTTCCGTGTCATGGATAATACTGGAGAAACTAAATTCCTCTTATTTGACCAAGAGGCAAAAGAAGTTGTAAACCAAACTGCTGCTCAGTTAACTCAGTCTGTTAATGAGGTTCATATTTATACTGCATTTGTCCATGACAGTATTTTATTTGATCTATTTAAAATTTATTAAATTCCTATTTGTTTAGATTCAGGATCCTGATGTCTTGCCCTTAGCTTTGAGCAATATTTGTGGTAAAACGTTTCTATTCAAGATTGCAATTGCAAGCTCAAATGTTGTTTTCAATAGTGACACATACAAGGTCATCAGTATAATAACACAAAGTGATGTGGTTAAGGAGTTTTCTGAAATCTCTACTCCTCAGGTACAGTTATAACATTTTGATATCACTTATTCTGTATAAACTAATTCTTTATTGCTTACCATACATTACTTTCACATTTCATAGAGCACTCCAAGTATCAAGATAGAGGAAAAAGCTCACAATGCTCTTGATGAAAAGGTATATTTATTTATTCTGATTTCTTACATTCATGTTTACTATTATAAACAAATTGCTTTCATTCTTACAGAATATTTAATATGTTATAGGTTTCTTTAATGATTATGGATGATGATGATGCTGAAATGCCACCTACTTCTAAACGCAAAAGCAATGAAAAGTTGGAAGTGATTAAGGATACTGATGAGTATTCAGCTGCAAAGAAGAAGTTTAAGGATGAGAAAACTGTTCAGACTAATCAAAGTACTCTACCGCTTAAGACCGTGAAAACAGAGAAGCCATGATTTAAGAACCGAAATCAGTTATTGGAACTACTTTGTGATGCGTTTTTCCGTCTGTAGTATTATTTCATTTATCGTTATTTTTTATTGAACTTTGCTTCTTGATTGAAATTTTGTAATCGGATGGTTATTTTTTAAGAATATTTTGATTTCGTTCATTACTGTTATTATTTTGTTAATGTATGAAGTCTTTTAATAATTTCATAATTTTTCTTTAAACATTGTATGATCATCATTCAAATGATATCACTTATATATTAAATACTATACAAACATCATTAGCTTATAATCAAATTTTAATGTATTCTATATTATTTATTTCTAAATGGAAATTTCCTAAATTTGTAACAAATTATATATACTTATATATACGAATATATACATCCAAAAATACCTATAACTACTAACCGAAAACAAAGTCATCAATGGATAATATATTAAAACTTATATCTTTTAACAGTATTACTTACTTTACTTAACTATATTTATCCTTTTAAGTTTGGCAATTTGTAACTAAATTGATTCTTTCTCTAAATTTATTATCTATATTTATGGATTTAGATATATGAATTTTAAATGTAGAATATTTGTTCTCCTAATCATAAGGGATCAGATTTAGTTTGAATGTTATAACAAATAACTATTAATTCATATAAATTGATTCTTTCTCTATATTTATTATCTATATTTGTGGATTTAGATATATGAATTTAAATGTAGAATATTTGTTTTCCTATTCATAAGGGATCACCTTTAATTTGAATTTTATAACAAACAACTACTATTTCATATAAATAAACTTTTCCGCTTCATCGCGTTCTTCGTGTTAACATTTACCTCTATTTTAATGTATGTTCACCTTCTTATGCAATGCATAGTTCAAAGAAAAATCGGCATGTATACGAAAATTATGAGAACCAAACTACTAAAAAACAGAAGATCGCATCTACCAGTCAATCACAATCAGCAAAACCTATTTCTGGTGCTTTTGATATGATTTTTAGAGATTTAAGCAATTCAAATGATTTTGTGAGGAGTTCAAGTCGGATTACATCAGACATATCAATTTCAAGTGAGTTTTTATTTATTTTTTGCTTTAATCTTAATTTTGTATACTTCACATTCTTTTAATAGTGTGTTGTTTTATTTATTTAATTACATAATTGAAATTCTTCCAGATTTCAGCAATCCTGGTTGTTTATCTATACAGTCAAACACACCTCAAAATCAACAGTGTATGTGAACTATGTTATATTTTATAAATCGTTTTATGAATTATATTATATATTTTATGCGTGTTCTACATTTTTCCTTCATGTAGCATTACCAAGTTCAGAAAAAGAAAACAGGCCACCTCTAAAGAGACCTTTGCAATGCTCACCATCTTCTGAAGAAACGGGTTACCTATATATCAACTACCATTTTTAATTCTTGCTTTTACATATATTAACCAAATTTGTTTACACATTCAATGTTAACATATATATTTGTTTTCAGGCCTTAGGTTTGGTCGAATTTTATCTGAAACTCAATTGTCACAGCCTAAATTTGCAAAACGTAATACAACAATTCCTGATCTAAACCTAGCAAGCAATGATATTCATGGAACTGGTATCCAATCATCAAATGATACTAATAGACAAGAAACCACTACCTCTAATATTACATATGCGACACCCCCATCGGTTGTTAGCAAAGCTCGAAGAATTACTAATTCACGGAAGCTAGCTTCTGGTATTCCTAAATCTGTACCTTTACAGCCAAGTAAGAATAATTTCATTTACTAATAGTATAATGAATTTATAAATTTAATCTATTTAAATTATTAACTCATTGTTTGTTTTTGAATTGTATTATCAGATAGGATCCTTACATCAATTGTTAGTAATATATCTGAATTGACAACCTCGAATCAAACGTATGCGACGCCACCATCTGTTGGTAGTAAGTCTCGAACAAATCCTTCTTCACAACCGCTTCATTCTGATCTTCCTAAACCAGTACATATCGGTCCCAGTAAGTTTTCTGATTTGTATTAATATCTAAATTATGTATATTAATTAAAATATAACATTTGTTTTAATTTAAAATGTATTGTTATATGTTTTCCCCAGAAAATACAAACAGGAATGCAACAAGCTCACACACTGTTGAAGGAATAGAGAAGTCATGTATCCTTATCCTATTCAAATTATAAGTTTTTTAACTTAGTTTTAAATTATCTTATCGTTGAATTCATATTAGTGTTATCTTAACTCTCAATCTAAGTCATTATGTGGTGGAACTCTTCTGTTGATAAAATCATTGATACACAAAGAAAAAATCAACTATCTAAATCTTTGTTCGAGACACAGCGAAAGGCTAGACATAACAGGACACGTTTAATGAAAGGGATTAAGTTTAACGAAAGGCCTAATGGAATTGATACTATAGCAGATGATTATGATCATGAACGTAAACCTGTTATATTGGAAAATGGTTATGTCTCTAACATTACACTTCTATCGATCCTTTTTTCAGTTAGATTCTTATCAGGACTAAATTTTTAATTATGTTGAATGTTGTATTACCTCAGGATATTATGATGATGGAGATCCGATGTATGAATGCATACACTGCAAAGCAAAGATGTGGTTTAATGAACGAATTCAGAAAAAGAAGAAGAGTGCAACATATAAATTTACTATATGTTGTTTGCAGGGTAAAGTGAAGCTACCCTTACTTAACCAACCTCCTCCATTTTTGATATATCTCTTCTCGAGTGATGATGAAATTTGTCGCCATTTTCGTGAGAATATCAGAGCTTACAACATGATGTTTTCATTTACATCTATTGGTGGGAAGATAAATTACGATATAAACAAGGGTCGTGGTCCACCCGTATTCCAACTACATGGTGAAAATTATCACTTAATTGGTTCTTTGATTCCTAAGAGGAAAGAGAAACCAAAGTTCTGTCAGTTGTATATCCATGATACAGCTAATGAGATAACCAACAGAGAGAAATCAATCAGGTATACACTTTACGCACTATTTTAATATCCATTAACATTATTTTTCTTCCTAGAATATATTTAATTATGCACTTTCTACTATTTCAGCAAGAATGTCTCTAACTCGACCAAGTTAAGGCCGACATTAATTGAATGTCTCATGAAGATGTTAAACTCTTGTAATCCAATGGTGAAAGCTTTCCGTTCCTACAAAGACAGATACAATATTCAACAACCAGAAGACAACTTCAAGTTAGTTGTCATTGCTAACAGGAATAAAGATGCTAGAACACATAACATGCCAACATCAACAGAAGTTGCAGCATTGATTCCGGGAGATTTTCAAGAAGGAATGGATTTACGAGATATTGTATTAGAGACTACACACGGAAACCTCAGAAGAATTAGTGAAATCTATGTGGGTTATCTAGCTCTTCAGTATCCATTATTATTTCCATTTGGTGAGGATGGATTCACCGTTGGAATTGAAGACGGTTTTGATGACGGCAACAAACGGAAACGGAAAACTATAAGCATGCGAGAATTCTATGCTTATAGGATTCAAGATAGGTTAATGGAATCTCAGTCCGTAATTCGGTTTAAACGATTGTATCAACAGTTTCTGGTTGATGTGTTTACTATGATAGAGTCTAGCCGACTTCGATATTTCAGGAAAAATCAGAAGAAGCTTTGTTCAGACAAGTATGTGAATCTGGTTGAGGCTGAAAAGGAAGGAAACTCTGATTTATCCAACAGAGGTAAGAGAATTTTGATACCTGCATCATTTACCGGTGGTTCACGCTATATGAACAATAACTATTTGGATGCAATGGCAATCTGTAAGCACTTTGGATTTCCTGATCTTTTTATAACTTTCACCTGCAATCCAAACTGGTCTGAGATAATTAGATATACAAAGAAGCAAAAGTTGAATCCTGAAGATAGACCAGATATCTTCTGTAGGATATTCAAAATTAAGCTAGACAGCCTCATGTGATCTCACTGAAAAGAACATTTTCGGAAAAAGTGTTTGTGGTATGTTAAATTTGTATTTGTAATATTTGTATTTATACTATGATTTATATTGTTATGGTAATTTTGATTGGTTTGTTTTATATTAACAGGTATGTATACTATTGAATTCCAAAAAAGAGGACTTCCACATGCACATATTCTACTATGGATGGCTGAAAAAAACAAATTGTCTACTGCTGAATCTATTGATAAGGTTATTTCTGCTGAGATTCCTGACAAAGATACTGATCCTTCTTTGTATGAAGTAGTGAAGCAAAACATGATACATGGACCTTGCGGAGTGATTAACAAAAGTAGTCCATGTATGGTCAATGGGAAGTGTTCTAAGCTATTTCCAAAGAAATATTGTGAAAGAACTACCATTGACAACAGAGGCTTTCCACATTATATGAGAAGGAAGACTGGCGCATTTGTTGAGAAGAATGGTCTAAAAATTGACAACAGTTTTGTTGTGCCTTATAATAGAGAGCTATCATTGCGATATAGAGTCAATGTGGAATGGTGTACTCAGGCAAGGTCAATCAAATACCTGTTCAAATATATCAACAAAGGACCTGATCGTGTTCTAGCTACTATTGAAAATGATTTAAATCAAGGCGCAGATTCTGATGCATGCGCCAATGTAGATGAAAACGGCGAGGATACTACAGATGAAATTAAGGAGTTCTTCGATTGCAGGTAGTATTTAATTTGATAGAGATTGTAGGCATGTTTTATAAGTTGCATTAGTTTTGATTACATACTAAATCTCTACTGTTCTATTGTTATGTAGATATGTTTCTTCATGTGAAGCTACATGGTGTTTGCTAGCATTTCTAATCCATTTTAGGACAACTCCAGTGGAGAAACTCTATTTTCATCTAGAAAACAAGCAATCAGTACTTTTTGACGATGATGATCCAGTTGAAACTGTTCTAAATCGCAGGTCAGTACAGAGCTCAATGTTATTAGCATTTTTTGAAGCTTGCAATAAGTATCCAGAAGCTGAAAACCTAACATATGCTGAGTTTCCTACAATGTTTGTTTATGATCGTACAAATATTGAATGGAAACCAAGACAACAGAAAAATAGGTTAGCTGTTGGTAGAATAACCTATGTACCTCTTAAATGTGGCCAATTGTACTATCTTCGTGTTCTACTCAACCGACACAAATGTCCTAAGGGGTTTGATGATTTGAAGACAGTTGATGGTGTTTTACATCCTACATACAAAGATGCATGTTATGCATTGGGTTTACTAGATGATGATAGAGAATATATAGATGGGATTAATGAAGCAAGCATGTGGGGTTCTGGTGACTTCCTTCGAAAGCTGTTCTGTGTTATGCTATTGACTGATAGCCTAATTAATCCATTTGGAGTTTGGGAAGAAACTTGGAATTTGCTATCTGATGATATTCTTTACAGAAGAAGATCTATTGAAAACAATCCAGGTATTTCATTAATTTTTAAAAAACTGTCTATAACTATATATGTTATGTATACAATAATATTTTATATTAATATGAAGTATTGGATTTCAATACATATGATGTGATCATTTCGCAGAACTGGACCTCTCTGATGAACAGCTCAAAAATTACACATTGGATGCAATTGAGACTATACTGCGAAGCAATGGTTGTTCTCTTTCAAATTATGATGGAATGCCTTTGCCGGATGGAGATTACAACACAGCTGGTATCAATAGGTTAATATACGATGAAAGAAACTATGATAGAGAAGAAATGAAGGCTATCGTAGAAAACATGCTTCCTGGTTTAACTGACGAGCAGATGAATGTCTATAAAGAGATCATGGAAGCTGTCACAGAAGATAAAGGAAGAGTATTTTTCTTATATGGGTTTGGTGGTACTGGAAAAACTCATTTATGGAAACTATTATCCGCTGCTGTTCGTGCTAGAGGTGAAATCGTTTTGAATGTTGCAAGTAGTGGAATAGCATATTTGTTATTGCCTGGTGGTAGAACCGCACATTCCCGTTTTGGTATACCAATAAACCCAGATGATGACACTACTTGCAATATTCAACCTGGAACAGACTTAGGAAATTTGGTTGCTGAGTCATCTCTTATCATATGGGACGAGGCACCTATGATGAGTAGATATTGTTTTGAAAGTTTGGATTGTACTATGCGTGACATTATTAAGCGTCATAAGGAGAAACCATTTAGAGGAAAAGTTGTTGTGTTTGGTGGTGATTTTAGACAAATTTTGCCAGTTATCAGTGGTGGAGGAAGGGAAGACATTGTTATGGCTTCTATTAATTCGTCATATTTATGGGATGATTGTAAGGTGCTCAAGCTTACAAAAAACATGAGGCTTTTGGCTAATCTTGATGAAAGCGTAGCAGAGGAAATCAAATCATTTTCAGAATGGATTCTTAAATTTGGCGATGGTAAAATTAATCTACCAAACACCGGAGAAGTTATGATCGACATTCCTGATGAGCTTCTAATAAAAGAATGTGATGATCCCATTCAATCTATTGTCGAGGAAGTTTATGGTTTAAGTTTTGAAGAGCAATCCGATCCTCACTTTTATGAAGAAAGGGCTATTTTGTGTCCAACTAATGACGATGTTTGCCTCATCAACGATTACATGCTTTCTATGTTGACAGGTAAACACAATTACTATTGTTTATCGTTTAATTCATTTAGTTTTTAAGTTTAGTTATCATATTTATATACTATACTGATATATCTATAATTTTTTATTATCAAGGTGAGGAGAAGACTTATCTAAGTTCTGATTCTATAGATCCATCTGATACATCTAACCAGGATAGCAGAGTATATACTCCTGACTTTTTGAATAATATAAAGTTGTCTGGTCTTCTTAATCATTCTTTAAGATTAAGAGTAGGAACACCAGTTATGCTATTAAGGAATATAGATCCAAAGGCTGGTTTGTGCAATGGTACAAGGCTACAAATCACCCAATTAGCTGATCATATCATCGAAGCTATTGTTTTAACTGGTGACACTCATGGTCAGAAAGTTTACATTCCAAGGTTGAATGTCGCACCTCCTGAAGGAAAATTTCCATTCAGAATGCGAAGAAGACAATTTCCTTTGGCCAGTTATATGTTGCTCTATCTAGAGTAAAATCAAAGGATGGGTTAAAGGTGCTTATTATTGACAAAGATGGTAAACCTCAGAAACAAACAATGAACGTTGTATTCAAAGAAGTGTTCCTGAAGATATAGTTTCAACATTACTGGTAAGTTATAACTTGAACACCATCTTAATTTGCTTAGTATGATTTTTTTTTTTAACGTCTGTTATGGATTTGTAATGTATTCAGGAAGTTGCAAGTAATGCTATTGATGTCGTGTTCGTGCAAATGATCCTGATATGTTCTGTTGTCAGCAATTTGGTCTATTATTTGATAATTATTATATATTCCCCCTAATACATTCACTTATTTTGTATTGGTTACTCAATTTGGATGTATGATTTTTTTCAGACAGCTCATATGTTATTTTGATATATATCGTCGTATAATTTGTTTATATAGTCGTAGGTTACTTATTTACGTTATATGTAATTGAGTTTTTGACAGACTAATATCCTGATCACTTCATATCAGCCTCATATGTAAACAAACATAAATTAATCAAAGTTAGTCAAGTACATTATTTATACATTAATTAAAAATGGTTTATATTATGTTTATTAATTAATATGAATAATTAAAAATATTTTTGAATTATATTTATGGTTATTTTAGATTCCAATATATATTGCACGAAGATATCGACTATGTATATCCCGAATATATCTCTATTAGTTAGTTTCCCTTATACATATTATATATTATTTACTTGAATACCCTATCAAAGAAGTTATCCCTTATATAAATACTCTGTTGTGTAAAATTTGTCAGCCATTTGCAAGAACTTCGATATATAATACCGTCATGATTTCTACTTACGATTCTATATCTGATTTAAATCCGTCTACTACTGATTGGAAAATTAGCGTTAAAATTACTAAGAAGTGGAAACAATATACTCCACATCGAGGAATTACTCTTAATATGAAACTATATGACGAAAAGGTAAAGTGTAGAATTCATTACATTCAATTTCTGTTTTTTACATAATGAATACTTTGAAAAACCTGTACTTTTCTTTATTTTACAGGGTCATACAATTTGTGCTACAGTTTACAGAAAATACATGCAATTCTTTGAGAATAGTATTGTAGAAAACTCATGGTTTGTAATTGAAGAGTTCACTCTTATTCCCGTTAATGCTGAATACATTAACACAACATCCCTTTTCAATATTCAGTTCATAATTTCTACAACTATCACTCCTATCAGATATGCCGAAGGTATTTAAATTATATTTATTTAATACTATTGTTTCATACCATGCATGTTACTGAAATATCAGAACTCTATTGATGCAGTTTGTAAAACCAGTCTCCAAGGAATTAGATGTATCTACCATTAGTAATGATAGTAAGTATTGTGTGTATTCAGTTATTATAATAGAAATTTTTATATTGTTTCGAACTCAGTATTTTTTTGCTTACTCACTATTGTTTTTTTATTTGACAGCATTTATAATAACTGCAAGTGGTTATAATCGAGCACAAGCACAAATCAACCTATTATTTCCCATAAGCACTTTTAAATTTTTTAGACTATTATATTGTTCTTTATTAAAATTCCAATTTGTGAGGAGGATAATAAATTAAGTTTTGTTTGACATAAGTACCTTTTCTGTTTTTAATATTACGCATGTTTTATAATAATCTCCAAACTATGCAATTACCAAAATATAGACATTTCGATAATCAGATTTACATTATTCAAGCGTAATATATATTCTTTATATAATCGGTGATGCTTTTTCCTTTTGTAACACTGTAACACTTATGTACATATTTGATCAATATCAAATATTCTCTGCTGCTTTATAATTGATTTGAAAATACAATGACACAAAACTGTTTTCCTTTTATGTTTTCAATACATATATTGAGTGGCTGTGTAAGTTCCTTTTTCGATATGATAAAATATACTGTTTATATCGATGACATATTTGGATGTTTTGAATAAAATAATATATCTTAAATTTGAATAGAAATCTGAAGACATTATTGTTTCGTAGATAAGAGAGATCTCATTACCAATTTTTTCAAACTTTTAGTTACTATTTTCTAGAACCAAAAAAGCTCTCTCGCATATACTTCAATGGAAGACTATGACCTAATTTCAGATCTGCATTGTGACCAAACAAATTGGACTATAAGATGCAAAGTTTTGAAGAAATGGCATGTCAAATATCCAAGAGAACGTCCATATTTACAGTTTCTGTTGATAGATGAAGAGGTATTTAGTTTGTATTTATTCACTTATCTTTTAAACTTTATGTTATACTATATTTAACAAGGTTTTTGTATTATATAAATTACTAATACATACAGGGTGAAACTATTCAAGCTTATCTCTATATTACCGATTTAATTAAATCATTCGACAAGACAATTGAAGAGGGTGAATGGAAATGTTTTTCTGAATTCGTGGTCTTTGATGATACATCGGATGAACCAAATTCTCCTATTGGTAATTGTATCCGGTTTATAAATAACACAGAAGTAGAAGATATAGATCCTGTCGGTGTTGAAATTGTACAAGATTTTGTTTCATTTTCTGATGTGCATGGTGATAAAACAGAGCCTGGTCTTCCTATCGGTATATTTCTGCCTTTACTTAGTAATCTTATTTTAGACTAAAGTTTCATTTATTTATAAAGTTCAATTGATTGGAATGTGTTGTTTGCACTTTGAAAATTGTATTTTTCAGATATTCACGGTTTTGTTATCAGTATTGATCCTCTGGTCACTGTAAATGATGATTCCTACCCTGAGAGACATGATAAGAAGACTACCAGTATATCATTCACTTTGAAGGATTACAAGTAAACTCAATTTTTTCTTTTTCATTTTACCATTTTCTCTATCTGATTAAATATTCTGTTTATTTGTTCATATTAAAATTTGAAATTTCTATGTAGGGGGTTATTGTTATCGTGTGTTGCATTAGGACCACTTGCACTTGATTTTAATTACAAGATTTTCAGTGAGGAACAATTACTATTTGATGTTATGTTAACCGACTGGTCTGTTAAACAAGAAGAAGGTTAGTTTTTGTATATCAATGATTAATTATTTAATGTTGTATAGTTTTGAATATGAAAATAACAAATCTATTATTTTCCTAGATGGATACTATCTTCGGTCTAGAGGAGGGATTTCTAGAATCGAGTTTCATCCTGACTGTCCGAAAGCTAAAACTTTGGTTAAAAGGTAAATTGCTATAGGCAGTCACATTATAATTTAATAAAATATGTAGCTTTTTGAATTACTGCTTACATGAATTTATTTATCTGCAGATTTTGGAATAACCAAAATAAACCTACCAATGTCATTGATTTGGGTAGTAACGATGATGAGGCAAGTACATCTTCCGTGAAGAGTAGAGACTGATTGAATTCAAAATTTTTTATCTTTCTATAATTCTATACTTTTGAATTATGGTATTGGTTTCTATGTTTTTATCTACAATGAATATTATGTGTTGTTTTAAATATTGGATATTCGTACTTTTTATGACTTTACTATGAGATATGTAGTAACCATATTTTATTTATTATGTTTAAAATGTGTGATTTTTTATTACTACATGTTTTCAAATATGATATTGAATCTTAAATATACTGGTTTAACGTTCAGTTAAACTTACTATAGAGTCGTAATTGCATATGTGTTCGTATTATAATGTTTGGAAAAATCAAGAACGCAAAATCACGCTTAGAAAATTTCAAGTCAAAGCTTCTATTTAAAAATTTAGTAACAACTACTTTAATATTGTTTGGTAGTTGGTTTGTTGCTGAATACTTAAATTTATGACCTGTGCATGCAAAGTTAAGATATTGAATTGATTTGATCGATATCTGATTGCAGCTTTTATTAAGTGATATTTTCATACATATATATTTTTGCATGTATATATTTAGATTGAGGAAACTTTACAAACATAAATATCACTTTTCAAAGTTCATATCTATGTATACTTATACAGTAATTACATCTGCCTTTTAACTAAATCTAATATATTAATTACTAATATTATAGTATATGGTTTATATGTATTGTAGGAAATAAAAATATTCGCCACATTTATAATTTTATATCCCTTGGATTCGCAACATATAGTTTATGAAGTGTACAAACATGAATAAATATGGTAGTTGAAATTTCGCATATATATTCATGTGATTTGATAGGAGTATACTTATATCTTTACATCTGTAACTTCCTTTTTATGCACTCGGAATATAAACAGAGACATCTACTGACATCTTACACCGATTGAAATATATTCGATGAACTTATTCCTTTTTTAACAAATTAAATGAACCATTTTTGTATTTACTACACTTAAATGTTTACAAACAATCGCGACTTTAGAGTAGTTAACCGTCTATGTCTTATATATATATATAAAGAACTATTTTCTTCCATAACTTCATCCTGCACAAAGAGAAAACCTAGAAATTAAACATCAATATCTCTGAGTAAAAAAGATGGCCGAATATCAAATGGTTAGTGATTTAACACCATGGGAGGAATACAAGCAAACCATCAAAGTGAAAGTTCTCAAGCGTTGGGAGACTGTTAATTCAAACGGGAATGATGGGATGTATTTCATCCTGGTTGATGAAAGTGTAAGTTTTGTGTTTTCAAAATAAGTTATTTATTTTTGCAAAGCCTTTTTGTTGTGTATTTTTAAATTTTTATTTTTTTTACTCTAGGGTTCTCGAGTTGCTGCTACCGTTGATGAAACGCAACTCTCATATTTTCAACATGTCTTTCAAGAAGGAGTTTGGGTTCGGATTTCCCAGTTTGGCTTGGCTAATTCCGGGTGGAATGATAGATCCACTAAACATGCTTACAAAATCATCCTCTCTCAGAAAACAAAGGTGAATTCTATCAGGCCATTAACGGACGATCCTTTCATCAGTTTCGTTGATTTTGCGAGTGTTCTCAACCGTCCTTATTCTCACTATTATCCGATCGGTTAATCTCTTTACCTATTATTTGCAATTTTTATAAAATGCAATTTTTGCATAGTGGTTTGCATGTATGCGTAAAATGTTTATGTTAAGTAAAAATGGACATGCAATAATTTATCTGTTTAAAATACAGATTTGCTTGGTGTTTTCGACAAGAATATCAGAGATATTGTTGAAGTTGTTGGTAACGATGGGAAAACGGTTTCAACTCTGCATTTTGGTATCACTGATATCGAGTAATGACATTCTTACGTTAATTTTTGTTTTTTTTAAATGTCTTTTAGTATTAATTTTTTCCATTTTTAGGGGTAATACACTTAAGTGTGTTGCACATGGTGATTTGGCCTATTATATAAAGGAAAAATCTAACGGTGAGGTACTGAATGGACCAACTCCCATATGTGCATTGACTGATTGGATGGTGAAGAAAAGCTTAAGTAAGTAATATCATATAGTTAGCTTTGTTTTTGTACCATATATTATAATGGATTGGATATAATTGTAATATGATGAATTTTTGTTTATATAGATGAAATTATTATCAATGATTATGAAGGAGGAAAGCTATCACGTTTCTTGGTTCATCCACCACTCGACGAAGTTTACCATCTACGGGCTAAGTAATAATTTTATTTTGTTACTTATTACATGTATAAATCGTTAGATTGATATACTTATTCTTAGATATGTTTTATTTATCTTTTTTTTTTCAGGATGTGGGTAAAGGTGAGGGATTCAGCCCACAATGCTTCATCTTCTGGATCAAGAAATGCTTAATTCGGCCCATCTCAATCTTATCTTAATATCTATCTTTTTTTAAAGACTTTTAATTAAATGAGTGATGTCCTCCTATGTTATTGCATGTTAAGACTTGAATTTATTTCTGATTTCGTTTAATTTTCAATATTTTCTATTATCTTTTTAATTTATGTTTTTAAATCTATTTTATTTTGAAATAATTGTTGCATGTTTTAATCAGATTTTAAATTATACTAGACAAATTAAACTAATTAACTTAAACAATTAGTTATCATGATTATTATTTAACTTAATGTTTTTACATTTATTTAACTTAAACAAATGAAACTAATTAACTTAAATCTGTTTACATTGAGATTTTATCAGTATCACACATTGATCAATTACCTTTTTATTCTGACTATATTAAATATATTTTATGTTATCATGATTATTATAATTTTTAAAATATTACAATTTATGGAACTAAATGATCTTATAAAACGAATACTATCGTTCATTTTTGAATTTACTTAATTAACAACTTGCTAATTAAATTTTATTTTAGTAGTAACGATGTAACCACAAAAATAATAAATAATGTATATTAAAATGTTTTGCTAAATAATTTATGGAGATATTTGTTCTTATTTGTTCTTACTTGCTATATGTCCAATTCTTTGACTCCTTATATTTCAGGATTTTGAAAATATAATGACTAGATTTCCGGAAGAATTTATATATGATAGCAATATTTTTAGAAACTTTATGTTTAGGGTTCAGCATTCCTTAAATTAATCATTGTTAATATTTGATTGCATATTCTATAATTATATTTCCTTAGTTACGCGAGATAACACATATAATGAATATATACGTAACAAATCATTTTTAAAAAAGATTACGAATACGACTTCCATATATTTGTCATATTAATTATTTGAAGTTGCACAAAATATACATTAATATTTAATTCTATAATCTGTTAAATGTATCGTAACAACTTATACCAAACTATGGAAATATTCAGAAACAATATAGATAATCGCTATTTATGCCATCTAAAATATAACTAAACAAGATACATATTCCTAAAATCACTGACTGTTGCAAATTTTTAAAAAATTCTTCGTATATACACAAATATTTTTGGGACGTCATATCCTTAATTTACTAACATACTCCTATATAAACCTTTGCCGGAAAACGTTTTATACATCTTAATCGGAAACTCAAAGAAAAAGGCTGAATACCAAATGGTGCATGAGTTATAAGCTTGGGAGGATGGTTGGACAATTACTTATTTGAAGTTGCACAAAATATAAGTTAATAATTAATTCTATAATCTGTTAAATGTGTCATAACAATTTCAACCAAACTATGGAAATATTCAGAAACAATATAGATAATCGCTATTTATGCCATTTAAAATATAATTAACAAGATACATATTCCTAAAATCACTGACTTTTGCAAATTTTGAAAAATTGTTCGTATATACGCAAATATTTTTGGGACGTCATATCCTTAATTTACTAACATACTCCTATATAAACCTTTGCTGCAAACCGTTTTATACATCTTTAATCGGAAACTCAAAGAAAATGGCTGAATACCAAATGGTGCATGAGTTACAAGCTTGGGAGGATGGTTGGACAATTAAGGTGAAGATTTTAAAGAGATGGGGGGCCTTTGATGCTGACGGTCTTCGTGTGATGAATTTCATATTGGTTGATGAGAATGTAAGTTTGATACTCATCTCTATCAATGTTTTATATTATTAGTATGTTATATCGTTTTGCTACTAATGTTTTATATCATTTACCCTAACAGGGTTGCAGAATTTCTGCCTACGTTGGTAACCTCAATCTATCATATTTTGAATACGTTTTGCAAGAAGGAAATTGGGTGCAGTTATCCAAATTCAAACTAATTCCTTCTAAGTGGGAAGAACGCACTACAAGACACATTAAGCAAATTATTTTAGATGGTGAAACTAAGGTCAGTTCCATCCGACCTTTGACTGGAGATCCTTTCCTTCGTTTTGTTGATTTCAGCCGTGTTTACAATAAGCCTTACAGCCACTTCTACCCAGTTGGTAAGTATTAACATTTATCTTTATTAATTATGTATTTAACTATGTTAGTGTTATCGATTATAGTATTGTATGATTGATTGTGTAATATTGATCAGTTGTTGTACTACAATATTTTTTAATCCAGATTTGATTGGTGTTCTGGATCATGTTGAAAATATGGTAACTGTTGTTTATCCCGATGACAAAAGTGTTCCAACATTGAGATTCCGAATTAAAGATCTGGAGTAAGTAATATAATGGTTTCATGTTTTTATATCATTACTTGAGATACAATATAATCATAATAATTATAATGTGTAGGAATTGTACTCTTAACTGTGTTGCACATGATGACTTGGCTTACGAGATTGAAGGGAAATGCAAAGGTCCTGTAGGGAAGAGTCCATTTGCTATTTGTGTCTTAACTGATTGGTTGGTTAAGAAAAACATTGGTGCGTTTATATGACTTCCATATTTATAAGACAACTTTATACACAGTCAAAACTTGATGACCTTATCTTATTTATATTAGATGATATGACAATTGAAAATTACAAGGAGGGATCGCTTTCACGTTTTGCTATTGCCCCACCATT